CGTTTTTCTGTCCACATTCCCCTGAAGTCCTCATTCAAATTCCTCTGCAGTCCCGCCCTCTTTCTCCGCCATCTCCGAACAGATCTGAACCAGGTACAAAGCTCTTGTTTCCTTTAAGAACTCCCCACAGACGACACCAATTTGATGGGTCTACTTTGGGATCTGAAGTGAACCGGTGAAAATGGGCTCCGATCTGCTCGAACTGCCTCCAAGTCGCCTTCAAACCGCTGCAAACACCTGCAAGAACTCAAACCGGAGATGTTTTCGGTGAAGAGCCTCCGACGATCAAGTCAATATGGGAGTGGTGAAGATGAGCTCTGCTCAGTAGGGGCAGCAGCTGGAAAAATGGATAAAGAATGAAAATTAGGGTTTGGAGTTGCCTCAATTCCTTTATATAGAGGCAAAACACTTACTTGAGGTCCCCAAAATGCCTTGGCCGACTTATGCGAAGTGTCCAAAATGCCCTGGTCAGTTCGCATTCCGTCCACCTCCAGTCAGCATCTAGATTCCTTCTTATCCTTGGTAGATTCACCCTTGCTTGGAGGATATATAGAAGTCGTCGGAGGTCTTGGTGCCTCGAGGCGTCATAAGTCAACTTCGGGTATTGTCGAGTCGACTAAAGTCATTCTTGAACATCTGTAGATCATGTTACGCCTATCCGTCTCTTTGTGGGAGGTCGACTTCTGGAGGTCGATTGAGAGAATTACCTGGGACTTGTTAAGCCGAAAGTTCTCGGGAGGCTCATAGGAAGAATCGACTTTACATAAGTCAGTTTCCTGATGTCGATTAGTGTAGATCGACTCATATGCCTATCATTCGACTGGGTAGTTAGTGTTTGGATCGCAATGCTGCAATGTGGCTATATCATATTATATAAAACATTATTGTTATGGAATATTTGAGTTCAAACAATGTAGTCTAACAAAAAAAAAAAAAGAAAAAAGAAAAATGCACACCAATCTCATTAATGTTTTACAATAAAAAAAATTCATTACATAATTATTTTGAAATGGTGTAATCCACCTTAAATTTAGCCAATTCGTTTGTGTACTGCTGCGCCAGCACATGATAATAACCTGTTAAATCTCGCAAGGTGTTCGAATAAAGGCTGGCAAGATGGTCCACCTACTACAAAAAATGGAAGGAAAAAAAGATATGATAAATATTTATAAAAAAATAAAATTATTGTAATCAAATAACAACTACAATTTAGCATGAGACTTACATAGTCGCTGTTGGCACGCGTAGGGACCTCGTTCTGGTCCGACAGATTCTCGCCCAAACAAGTAGGATGGGAAATCCGACGGTACCACTGCATGTACTCTGCAATCGCCTCTGTTCGATCATCTATACTGACCTGATTCTTACTGCAGCTGACGGTATGCGATACCGGAACTGGTTCCACATAGATATTGCAGTGACATCATAATGCTCAACCTTGTAGAGCCTCGACTCCAAAGGACGGTTGGCATCGATTGACGTGAACATAGGGGGAGAGACAGTCTGGACATACCCCAACTGCCGCAGAAACCGCACAGGAAAATACAGCTTGACGATATCACGGTACCGAATGAACCCGCAATAAAGAGTCCTCGGCTTTATCTCATGTGAGCTAGAGCTGCCGTATGGCAACCATTGCACCTGTTCACAATTGCATAAAAGCATTTATAAAAATATTTATATTATTTTAAATAACTAGTAACTAAATTTAAATAAAATAACTTAACGTACATCGGAGGCAGTAAGTCTGTCACGTCTCCGACGGATGGTTGTGAGACGCTCGTCCTTCCTTTGACCCGCCGGTGGGCTCTACTATCACTGTTGCCGAACAAGGTGGTAGACAGCAACACCCAAATCCAGGCACTAGCCTCATCCAACGCCAACTGGCCTTTACCCTTGAATTTCTCTACAACAGAGCCTTCTCCCACAGAACCACGCTGCCAGAACGACCCAACGAGGTCAGACTTACTGACCGAAAGTATATCCATGCAGTAAGCCTGGTAGGCCCATGTATCCGGCTCCTCAACAACCACGACTCCCTCAACAGGAATGTTCAAAATGGCCTGGACATCGTGCAGCATAATGCTCATTTCACCAAAAGACAGGTGAAACGAGTTAGTATCCGGCTGCCATCGCTCCACGAATGCAGTAAGCAGTGGAGTGTCTAAGTGGGCGTGCATGGAGTCTGCCAGCTGTGACAGTCCGGTATTCTTGATCAGATGAAGTGCCTCGGAAGACATATCACCTCGCCGATATTTTAAATTACCAAACGCTTGCACTCTATTATGGCATTTCAGTAAGCCTCAACTCTCTCCATTCCACAATCAGGAGGCTACGTGCCCTAGAAAGCTAGGGATCACACTATCATCCATGGGCCCACAGGCCACTGGACCTTCAACGATCCAGTTTGCCTCACGATCAGTCCTAGATTGTTTGCTAGTACCTGCATTAGAATTGAACATAATGTTACTAGCAGTACCGATAAATTGTTATAATTAAGTCTAGATATTTAATGTCAAACAACAATAAATACGTAAATTATTTACCTGAGGATCCAGTGCTAGCAAAACGCCCTCCATCCTGTCGTGGAGGAGCAGGCCGAACAGGCCGTGAAGGAGCCGCAGGCTGTGCAGTAACCATAGCCTGTGCAGGAATATCGTCCTCGTCCTCATCATATGAAGATCCTGACTCGTCATAATCCTGCTCCATCTGGCCTACCGACTCATCAACATAATATCCATGCTGACCGTCCGGTGCTGATGCAGGGGGTATCGAACTGCCTGTCTGGCCAGCAAAAACATATCTATGCTGACTGTGATCGTACAGTGGTGGTGCACAATATCCCTGCTCACCAACTGGTAGTGGTGGTGCACCATATCCCTGCTGACCAACTGATAATGGTGGTGTATTATATCCCTTCTGACCAACTGGTAGTGGTGGGGCACCATATCTCTGCTGACCAACAGGTAGTGGTGGTGCCTGGAGTCTCGAACTGCCTGCCTGGCCAGTCTGTACCCTCCGAGCCTCTTCGATCATCATCTGTCGTTCCCGACGAATGGACGCATTTATATTCCGACTTTTTGTGTGTCGGGCTCCAGAACCGTCAATATACTCATCGACCTCGTCGTCGTCCCTGGCAAATTGTCCAGGTCTAGTAATACCCTAAATCACCAATTTAAAATAAAATTTAGTAAATATAATTTTTTTTTAAAAAAAAAATTTTGTAAATAATTTTTTTAAAATTAATTTTTTCAGGTCAAATTTTAAATTAATGATAAGAATTAATTAATTTAATTATAATAACATCTTAGTTAATTTTAATAATTATTAATCAATTTCAAATTTAATAAATATTGTAATAACTATTATAATAGTAAATAACTGATTTTATATATTCACTAATTTTTTATAATTATTATAATTAATATTTTTTTATTAATGACTTTTTATAATTTTTCTTTATTAATATAATATTTTTTCTTTTATATTATAATTATTATTATTAAAGTAATATTTATTTATAATATTTAGTAATTTATTATTATTATGATAATTTATTAATTTGTAATCAAATAAAATATTTATTTTTTATTTATTACTAATATAATATTAGTTAATATAATATAATTATTATATTAATTATCATAATTATTTTAATTTTTTATTTAACAATATTTATTATTTTTTTATTTTTTATTATAATATTTACTAATATAATTATTTTCATTATTTATTTATTATTATATCATAAAATAAAAAAATAATTAAATTGTGCCCGACCAGCTCGTGACCGGCCGGGGGGACCGGTTTTTTTCGCGTCTGTCCGGCCCCCATAAACGTACAAGTAGCGTGGCGTTCGGCCGGGTCGGGCCGAACGCCAAAACGGTCAACTGGTCACCTCGACTGGTCGCCCGCTGGCCTTATGGGATCACCAACCGAACGGCCGAGCCGCGCCTGGTTGCGCCGACCGGACGCGACAACAAATTTCTATTTTTTTTAAATACTTGTAAATTGTAAAAAAAATAAAAAAAATTACCTTGCTAGAGAACAATGCTTTACCGATGCCGTAGGATTTTTTCGACATTTTTTTAGATTTATTTTTAAGCTCGAATGGCTCGTTGAAGTTTCGATATTAGAGAGATAGATAGAGAAAGTAGAGAGAGAGTAAGAGATTTAGGTCGAAGGTATTTCCGTAAAAGAGAAAGAGCGATAACTAATAATAAGAGCGGTAAATAGCAATTCACTTTTCAAAACCCAAATATAACAAAAAAATAAAATAAAACAAAAAGAGGAAAAAACACGTATCACGAAGACACAAACTATCTTTCGGAGTGTCAAAAGATATATTCTGAGGATTTAATTTTCCACCCCATTTTTCCCTCTCTCCTGGGGCCCAGAATCGAAATTTGACCCGAAGATATTATTGTTCTCTCTTGACTCTCTCTCTCTCATCCAAATTTTCTGCTGATTCTATCTTCTGAGATGACCCTCTTCTTTCGCTCAAAGCAATCTATCTATCGTCTCCATCTGTGGCTCAGTCCCTTAAGCTTCTCCCTCTCAGATCTCTCTTTCTCTCTCTCATCACTTGACAATGTGTGCTATAAATGGCATTCTTTTTTGCTCCTTCTCCGTGGGTTTCAGTTAAAGTTTCGATCTTTACTGACATGGGTCGATTCTGATAGCTCAATAAGGTTATGGGTTTTTTATCCTCGAATTTTTGCTCTTACTGTTATGCATTTTCCTCCATTTTGATGTTAATTGTTGTGGCATTATTTTGATTTTGCTATTTTCATGTGTTGTAGGCTTATATAGCTCCTTTGAGGTTGGCTGTTTTTGTGGGTTCAGTATTTTTTCTTACTTTTATTTAATACATGGCCATTGCTGGAAATTGGGTTGTTTGAATTTGTCGACGATAAACGTATTGCTCGTCGAAAAGGAAAAATAGATGCAAATTTTTACTTTCAGCTGAGAGTTTGAAAAGAAAAGGAAAAAAAAAAGGAATGGAAGGTGTAAAAGATGTAGGGAAAGAGGGGCCTTGTTTTGAAGAGTATAATGTGCCTTATCAGCGTTCAAAATCAATTGCAAAGCTACCTCGACCCGCTAGCAATGGCTTTAGCAGCTTTGTTTCACTAGCATCTTCAAGCAATGTGAGTTTCTCTGTATGGTTCTTTGTTATTTATGTATTTATTGTAATTATTGTTGTTTCTGGGTCAATAGTATGATTTCACATTTATGAATTATGCGTATATGGTTCGTATAGCAAGAAGAACCCATTATATCATTTCAAAGTTGGCTCCTTGTGCCACACTAGAAAGTGCTCTAGACACTTGAAAAAGTGATTCTCAGCTTTTGGCATGATTCGTTTGGCTTTTCTCCGAAATATGCATAATATTTCAAGATTTTGTTGCGAGTTTTATCTACGGATTTCAGGGTTTTCTTCTGATTTATTTTTTTACACGAATATATCATTGCTGTTTATTTAACGAACACTTTCTCTTGAACATATGCAAAAGTTGTCATATTTGGAGTATCTCAAATAGTTTTTCACTTGTGCTAAAACTGATTCAGATCCCTAAACGGATTCAGATCCTTTAACAGACAATGTGTTTGCCAACACTCCATTTATGTTTCTGATTTAATTCTCATGCGGAAAGAATCAAATTGATTTTGATCTTTGCATATGGACAGATAACTGAAATATCTCGTGGTTCATTCCATCAATTGCTTATAACTTTCCTCAAGAACATTCTTAGCATTGTCCTCTCCAGAATAGTAATTTATATTATGTATATATGCCTTATCAACAAGTGATGCTTTCTGAAAATTGCTTGTTATATTCAATCACTCTGCTTTTTACTTGCTTTTTTTTTTTTGGATATTATTTTTGGATACCTGATTAACTATAATGTTGCTTAAAAATCAATTCCCATCTATATCACAAATTATTGAATGATTACAGGTTGCTACTTCAAAGCAGAAAGTTCTCCCGAACTCCACTGGCAATTATTCTCATTGTTCTGTTGGATTAATATCCGAAAGTTCACTAAGGAAATCCAAGCCCTTCATCTTGGATCTGTCGAACTATGAAAGACCGAATTTGACGATGAAAACTCTCAAGTACGATAATCTCGACTTTGTTAATATCGTCGAAGAAAATAGTAGAACTTCCGAAAACAAAACTACATCGGAAGACTATATAGATGGAGATAATTTTTCTAAAGTTATGCTGAAGTCGGAGGCACTTAATGATGGTATTTTTGAAAGAGTTAAAAGGAAAAGATGTGCTTCTGTTGTGGATTCTTTGTCTCAGTTGTTTCAGGGATCAAGAGGCTGTAATAAACCAGCTAAGATTGAATGGATAATGAAGGAGAGTCTGAAAGAGAAAGTTTCAGGAAATTCGGATGAAAAGAGAGATATGGTAGACAGTGTCGAAGAAGGCTTTGTTCAAGGTCCTCACTTAACTCCTGATGATGTCGTGAGAGTTATTGGTCAGAGTCTATTTCACAAAGCAAGACACACGATTTTGGAGTGAGTTTGCTTTACATGCTTGTGTGCTGCTATAGATGTCATTTTTTCTATAAGTTTTCAGACTTCAAGTTATGTTGAAAGGTACATTTTTATTATGAAATGTTTTCAATCCACAGGCGGGTTAGTTTAAAAAGAACTTCGTGGTTTTCTGTAATTAGAGAAAAGCAGAAGAAAAAACTTTCAAAATCATGGAACACTATTTTTTTCTGTAGTTAGAGAAAAGCAGAAGTAAAAAACTTTCAAAATCATGAAACACAATTTCACATTTGTCTATGTTTTACAAATTACATGCGGTTGAGTTGGATAGGATGTTTGTATTCTTGAAAGATGCCTTTTTATCTTCTTTCTTGCTAAACTGGTTAGGGTCGAAACAAGTACACTTGCCTTGAGTAGCCCTTAGTTAGCTTATTACCAATTTCAATCACTTTCAGTGACAAGTAATTATCATTTTCTGGTTAAATTCGGACCTACGGAATTTTAGTGGTCACTAGACTATTCTGCAGATAGTGAATTTTGCAGGATCTGTGTTATCTCTTTTAATTTGAATGACAAGCATTGCAATTCTAACCTATTGAATATGTCACCATGTTTGCAGCCAGCAGAAAATATTTTCTAGCCAGATACTCGAGTTACACAGGCTTATAAAGGTCACAAATTTCTCTCCTTTTGTTTTTTGTCAAAATTGTTTGGCTTCGCCACTCTGTGATTTGTTATTAATCATTACCGAGCAATACTGTTATAACAGGTGCAGAGGTCTATGGCCAGATCACCAGAAAAGCTAGCCGAAAAAAGTTTCAATCGAAACAAGCCACCAATCCAATTCTCCCTAAAGTCTAATGTCGAAGAAGTATACTTTTCTCCAATGCTTGCAACGACCCCAAATGGCATTTCTAGTAAAAATGCTAAAGTAGTGCCACCGTATATTTTGCATCCGCCAATTGGGAACCAATGGCTGGTCCCCATTAAATCGCCATCCGAGGGACTCGTTTACAAGCCTTATCCCAGGCCTTATTTCTCTACCAGCAGCATTGTCTTTGACAATGTCATTGGTCAAGGTTATTTTTGTAATTACACCATGCCACCAGTAAATAATGCTAGTGTTGAGGATATCCAGTCCAAGGAGGAGCCTGTGGAGAAAGACGGTCTCGCCCTTTTCCCTATGACTCCATTGGGGGAGATGTTGAAGGATGAAAATGACAGTCGAAACACGGGAGTAGTCAAAGTTGTGCCTCACAACCGGAAATCAGCACCGGAGTCAGCTGCACGAATTTTCGAGTCTTTGCAGGAAGAGAGAAGGGTTCTTCGACTTTCTTCATGCACATGACTTGTCGTGAGTGATTTTTTTTACTGATATTTCTTTTGGTTTGAATTGTTTATTTAGCGTAAATACATATACTCGTATGGAGTAGATAAAAAAGGTGGATACTTTTTCGTTCAAAGGTCGGATATTTTTGTCATACTTAGATAAGAGAGATGGGATTTTTTTGTTTTTTTTCTTTAAAAGAAAGTTTTGATAGTGTTTGTGTGTTGATTTTCGTCAAACAGGATATATATACCTTGTAATGGCGACCAAATTTTGGCAATATGAATGTAAGAGTCGATCGATTATCATTACTACTATGCTTGTTCTGTTGAGTTTCGCCCTTCTTTGTCTGATATCTATACTTTGATATGATCTTTTGGGTAAGTTCAATCCTACTTGTCCACATGGGGTTTATCACTGCTGCGTCTGATTCAACGATAATAAAACTCGTGGGCGCTACCCACACAGGTAGGATCAAATTAATCGATGTATTGTTTATGATTTTAGTAATAAATACACATGCTTCTTACTCCTGTAACTTCCATTTACATCCATCCATCGCGTATTTAAGCATCATTTCTATGTAGAATTAACTGCATGCATACATTAGGACAACCTAAATGAGCCCTTTCTCTATTCCTCATTTGAATATGCAACTTCCATTTTTCATAGAACATAAATATAAATTTCATTAAAAGCATGTGATGAACCTTCAAAATTGTGAATGCTCAATAATATATCCTCATAATTTGGACACACTGCATATCTGCATGTAACCAATCCAACTTTAAGCAATATATCAACAAACAGCTTCTGTTTCTCAGCCTTTTTTTAGCTTACAGTTAGTTCAATCAACCACTTGCTTTCCCAACCTTAAATGCTCAAGAATTTAAACCAGATTAGATGAAACTGAACTCTCCAACACCTACATTTGGTTCCCACAAATGAAAAAACTCACCATGTACACTTACAGTAAGTCAAATATTCCCCTGTTCTACAAATTATATGTTACTACTTCCCTTTTTGTGTCCATATTTTCCCTTCAAATCTTGTTCACCAAAAAAAACAAAGCACTATACACAAAAAATAACTTAATTCTTTCTTTTCTTTTGCTTTTCAGTCTTACTCGAGATCCCGAGTCACCCTCACTCGATCTTCCACGCGTATAGAAAAAGACAAAAATCGACGCACTTGGCATAGCTCTGTATCGAGTAATACTTGCTATTCCCGCTGCACTCGCTGTCATCCCCTTTGCTGCTGCTGTCCTCCTCGTCTTCACTGTCCCCTTCCCCTTCCCCCGACTTGAATATAAAAAGCCCGTGATTAGAGCCCGGCGGGCAAAACAGCCACGCGTGCACGTCCCAGTAAACCTGCACGGGCTGCTTGTTCACGAGCACCGTCTGGTTCCCCCTGAACTTCCACTGCAGGTTCTTCACGTGCACGAGCACAATACCGTCTATGCTGATCCACATCTCGGGCTCCCTCGGGCCAGCGGTCGAGCTCTCCACCACAATCTCGTGCTCCCGCCGCCGCCGGTCGAACCGGGCCCGCGTGGAGAAGGACTTCTTTCCGAGCACGTTCTCCTTCTTGTAGAAGAGCATGGGGTCGACGAGCGCGGGCCGGGCCTTGGTCCGTTTGTAGGCCTTCTTCTTCTGGTCTCCGAGCAGGAGGACCACCTCCTCGTCCTCGGAGATGAGGGCTACGTAGTAGTCGGAGGAAGGCTCGGGCCCGGTGGAGAATTTGGCGGAGCGGAGGTCCCAGTAGGCGTCGAGGTGGGTCCCGTCGAGATCGAGGGTCTTGTAACCCTTCTTGGCCCAGAAGTGCCAGGGCTTTAGGTCGATTTTGGACGTGTAGACGAGGTTGTCGTGCTCGGCGCTGTCGACCGAGATGGTGAGGGAGTAGTTCATGAGATTCTTGGCCCACAGAATGGTGACTTTTCGCCAGAAG